TCATTCTGGGCAAACCACCCATAGAAAATGCAGCTCTGTCTCCATATATAAAATCCCAGAAAAGTCAGAATAGCTGGGCTTGAGCCTCATATCATCACTGGAGATCATGGCAGCCCCTTTAGAACCACAAAGAGTCAGGTAAGAGCAGTGGCCATGGGAAGAATAGGTCCTAGCAGGAAAATAAGGGACCAATAGGTGGTAAAAAGCTAAATGAGAGAGAGCTGTGCACTAAGACTCTGAGCTAAAGCCTCTACAATTAAATCAATCTCAAACAGCATTTAGTGACATAAATAATGTAGATAAAATTATATATTATAGGAAAATTCTTTGAGTTAGCAAGTTTATTTTTATATATGTCAAATATTTTGGCTTCCTAAGGAATTCTTTATCTGGTATCCTATAAATACTTTATTTCGGGAATTATGTATAGAACATGACTCAAAATTTGGGGAAATAACAGCTTACCTTAATGACGAGGAAAAAGCAAGTAACAGATGATGCTTTCCTGAAATTTCCTATTGTATTCACCTAGTTACAATGGTGCAATGGCAAAATATGCCAGGGAATTACTTCTCAACAAAATTCTATTAATGAACATTATTAGAAAGTGCACTCTTCTGTTCCCCAGGTATATTTAGGCCTTCTCATCCTCCCTTCCTATTCAACATCTCTCTCATACTTTCCTTTTCTTTATTTCTCTAGATTACATTCTGCTAACTTCTTTGGCCTTATCGTTCAGCTAATTCTCCCTTGGTTTATAATTTCTGGCTAAACCAGGAGTTTTTCCTTCATTTTCCTTCTTTTTTTTCTGTACCAGTTCAGTATACATCCAAAATAAATACACATATAGATACCAACCATTCATTTTAGGGTATCTAATCTACCATTCTATTATTATCAGACAAGGAAATCTTATCCTATCTTTATTCAACACTTCCCTCTTCTTTCCCCTCCTGAAATTCATTTAGACACCAAGTATTTCATATAATCTAAGAAATTCCCAACCCACCCCCCTCTGCTAATTCAGGCCCTTACCATTTCCTAGACAAGCTGTTAAAGCCTCCCAGCCCAGTCTAATGACCAGTCTTTCCTCATATTAAGGTTTGGAGGTAGTAAGAGCTAGACATCAGTTCCAGACTATCCATTGGGTTCCAATCCATCCTAGGAGGCTCTAGTTTGTCCTTGTTCTCTCCTACTTCATGTCCATCTTCCCTGCCTGGCAATCAACCCTACAGATTTCAGTAGACAGCACCAAATACAGAAGCAACAATTTTCATAGACTGTTCAGCTTCTATAATTATATATATTATAGCTATATATTCTTCATTAGATCTTGTGTTTTGCATCTCTGATCAAACCTTGACTGATACAGCAGTATCTAGAGATGTGCTCATTATAATCCATCAGATGGATATAACTTAGCTTATTCAAGCAATCCCAAGTCCCCTAGTGATAGACAAATGGGTTGTTTTTAGTCCTTGCCCTTATGAATAGTGCTGTAGTGAACACTAATATTTTTTCAGACTTTTATTAGTCTATCTCTGAAATAGATTCTTAGAGGAAGACTATGGGTCAAAGGGTAAATAATTATTACTGCTATCAGTTCTCTTTCCTCCTTAAAATCTATGACTTCTTCTGGAAACCATACAAGCAACTGTGGCAGATACTGGTAGTTGTTAATATCCATCTCTCATCATTGCATAATAAAATTTTTAGTTGGGCACTAAGCTAAAGACAACTTTTCTCAGCCTCCCTTGTGACTGGGTGTGGCACCGTGATGAAGTTCTGACCAATGGAATATGCACAGATTTAATATGTGCAATTTCCAAGTCATTCTTTAAGAGAAGGAGAATTCTTTTCCCCTCCCTTCCTTCCCCCTTCCTTGTGGCTGAAATGTTTCTGTGAGTTGGGAGCAAAGCAGCCATCTGGGACCAGAAGCTGGAAAGTCACAAAGACAAATGGAGAAACCAGACAGGATTCTGGTGCCTGATATTTATGTGAGAGAGAAATAAATTTCTGTCTTACTTAAGGCCTTACCAAGGGTTTACTGTTAGCCTAAATAATATATCTAACTTTTTTTAGAATCATCTACCTCATGAATATATCTATGTTTAAGAGGGCATTCCATACATAGATTTTATAAACATTGCATTATACTCAAGTTATCTTTACTTACATATGACTATGTTTTGTTTAATTAAGATTACTTAGTAATTAACCTAAATGGGCTGTCATGTAACGAATACAACTCCCGATTATTTTTGCAAAGGATTGTCAGCCTAGTATTTAAAATACATTTGTGAACCTTCCCAGAATGAATTCCTTTAAAAAACTCTAAACGTAAGGGTTTATACCTTTGGTCTACGCTATTTTAACTATTCCCAAATGTATGCTGAAAATTCAAAAAGAATGTAAGAATAATAGTCAACCTATTAAATTATTATTTATGGATATTAAAAGTCTTCCCATTGCCACCACTTCTAAGTGGCCTCTGTGATAAACCTACAGTATCTTTTTCATTGCTCTATCTGATTCTGTTAATACAGAAATGTCTTCTACAAATAATCTCAGATTACTGAACCAAAAATGCTCCGTTCCTTTTTATATCATTCTGAACAGCAGGAAAGTTTGGTGTTTCCTCCAGCAGCGTGAAGCAGACCTGAGAGATGAGCAGAGCTAGGAAGATCCGCTGCATGGAGGGCAATGAAGAACCAGAGGCAGAACAGGCAGCGCACCTCCCCTCCCCGTCCCTTCCAATAATATGGTCAACTGGAAGATACCGATAGAACCAGAAGCTAAGTCTAAGAAAACCATGGGTTAGGAGCATCCTGAATTCTAAGAACCGAGAATCAAATAAGATAAATAGAGACAGGCAGCATCAGTTACTGTTTCAGAACTGATATGAAGCACTGGTTCTCAAAATTTAGTTGGAGTCAGAGTCACCAGGAGGGCTGCTAAGAGACAGCTCAGCCTCACTCCCGGGGGTTCTAATTCAGCAGGTCATGAAGCGAGGCCTGACAATGCGCATTTCTAAAAAGCTCCCAGGAGGCTTAGGCTGCTGGCCCAGGGATCAACTCTAGAGAACACAGATATGAAAGTTTTGGTGGCTCGCTCTTTTTTCCTAGACTACTTTCTTCTGCAGAGAAACTCTCTCACTGTGAAAGAACCCATTTTGCTCTTTACTGAGCCCCTGGAGGTCAAGAAAAGATTCAGAGTTAAAGTCCATGAAATGGCACATAATCATTGGGAAACTTCTGAAAAGCCTTTGAGCCCCATTCCTCATCAGTGTTTTTCATAATCTCTCCCAGTGCCAAGGCTACAACAAATTTCTCAAGTTCATTCTCTTAGCAGGAATCCTGTAACATTACACATTTCCTTTACCAATCTTGATTTCCAAATTTGCAGCAAAATGAATATTACTTTTCTAAGTTTCTTATTCACTCTCCATTTATTAAATATGTACTGAAAAAATCTGCATTAGTTGATAAGCTTGCACAGTTAGTTGGCCTTACAAATATAATATCCATAGGGGATCTAAAGTAATTAGCAATCAAATAGCTACTCAGTGTACACCTTCCGTGTTTTCCTATTCACCTCAAGACTTTAAATTCTTATGTTACTTTTAATTCCATAATGAGATATAAATCACAACAGAGTTCCTAAAAAATGTAAAGATTCCATTTAAAATATGTTTAACTTAAGAGCACTGGAACTCTGAAAATTTTCCAATGGAAGTATAAAATGGTATAACTGCTTCGAAAAACTCTTCAGTAAATTCTTACCAAGTTAAATCAACATCTACCCTGTGAAATGCCAATTCCATTCCTGGATGTTTATTACTCAAAAGAAAGGAAAGAGTATGTTCACAAAGCACCTATTCAAGAATGTCCCTAGCAACCTTGTACAAGATAGGCAAAACTGAAAACAGTGATGGACATTTATTCATCAACAGGAGACTGGATAAATTGTGATTATAGTCATACAGCAGAAATACTACTCAGCAATGAAAAAGGCATAAACTGTTGATAAGCAACAGTGTGAATGAATCTCAAAACATGAGGTTGAGCAAAGGAGGCAAACACAAAAGAATACATATGGTATGATTGAATTCTATGAAGCCCTAACACATGTGCAACTAATCTCCGGGGACAGAATCAGAAAGTGGCTAAGTTTGGGGTAGAGAAAATAGATTGGCAGGGAAGAGGCAGAAGGAGCTTCCTGGAGTGATGAAATTGTTGTAGATTTTGTTTTTCACAGTCTTTACCTGGATGTGTAAGACTGTCAAAAAAATCTATCAAACTGAACACTGAATATCTGTGCCATTTACTATATGTAAATTACGTCAATAAAAAATGATAAGCTTAACTATTCAAGAAAAAGAATGATTTACCAAAGCAATGTTCTTTATATTCAAAATAAAATATACGTTAGACAGAATAGTTTGATATTTAAAATTTCCATTATAGGTAATAAATAAGCAGTCACAGATGAAGGTTATAGAATTATGATTCTGAGCTCAAGGCAGGGTGACTGAACATCTCAGTTTGCCTTTTAGACAATCATTCTAGTGTTGGCCTAAAGCTATAGCACTGATAGTACCCCCTTTGCTATCAAATGTATCCTGATTTAGAGGAAGACCCATAGCTAAAAGGACATTTGATATTATTTGGTACAATGCACTCATTCACTTTGCCATTCAACCTACATTTCCTAAGCATCTACTATGTGACTAAACATAGTCTCTATGTTCTTGCTACCATTTCACATTGCTCCTTTGTTTCCACAATCAGAACCTAAAACAGCTAGATGGATTTTTCCCTAAAGTTAGCATAAAATAAACAGCGAAAGACAAAATAAATATAGAAGAAAGCAATCAGAATTTTCTATAAACAAGGAAAATACAAATCAAGCTTATAAAAAAAAAGGTTACAATTCTTTGGAGCTGTGTGAAACAAAATGCATAAAGACAGTCACAAATATAAAATAAAGGAAACCTTTACCTGCTGCCCTGTAAAGTATTTTAGGTTCAAAAAATATACAAGGATTTTTATCCTCTATGCATGACAAAAGAAGTCCCTTGGCCTGGAAAGGGCTTCTGGGTACAACCACCTGCAAAAACAGATTTTTTTTTTTTTTAAAGACCATTTCAGTATAAAATGTAGCCCAGTAAACTCACTTATAAGAAGGGTTGATATTTCAGTAACTAATTGTTACTAATTGCAGGGATCTTGTATTTTTAGTTTAATTACCATTATAAGTGTTACATATTGTCCCATCCCCAAAAAATTCCATTGTTAAACAAGTATTTATCACATGTCCATCATAGTCCGGTGGCTAAGATACTGTTCTCTTAAAAAGCTAAACTTGCATATGTATACTAAAAGGAATCTGCAAGAAGCAAAGTTGTCGATATCTTCCTATATTCACCTCTAAAAAAAGCTTTTCCACTAATACTCTACTGCTACTTTCAAAGGGCATGCAATTCTTCTCCAATTTTAATATACCAAAATCTCCTCCTTTCCCATGAAACACAGGGTCTTCATTTCCTAAGTGGAAAATAATCTGCTGAACTTTATGATCTGGGCACTGTAATGTCTGGTTATTGCAAAGCTGAAAGGAAAGTGTGGATACTGCCCACTTCCTCTTGAGAAGGCCTTTGAGAAGGAGGAAGATGATCACAGAAGGTGGCACAAGTGTTAACTGGGCCAAGCACTCTATGTGGATCTACTGTTCACAGCAACCCATACTATTATTATTTTCCCCAATTTAGAAAGAGACACAAAGGATTAAAAGAGAGATCAAATAATTTGTCCAAAGTCACATTGATTGCTTGACCAGGGATTCTTCTACAGTTCTGACACCAGACCCTAAGCTCTAACTACACCATTTTGCCTCAAATCACAAGCTTATGTCTAGTTTTTAATGACTGTTAAATAACTGCATAAATACCAGTGAATACCAGTGTTACATGGGAAGAGTTATTAAAATAAATCTGAGTTTATCTCAAAGACTCAAATAAGAGTCCTTGAAACAAACTACATTTGGCTTTCAAAATCAATTTTACACCATCCTAAAACTTTAGGATTCTTATTTAAAAAATAGCACAAATCTCACTCTTTTCTATAAAAACAGACTGCTGAACACATCGCTTACCGTACTACACAATGTCTTTAGGTTCCTACTTTAGTTTCTCTTCATCTCCTTTCCTCATGTACTTTTAGCATTTTGTACTATTTTCATTTGGGATTAAAAAGAGGGCAAGGGGCAAGTGGAGAAAGTTAGGAAATTGTGGAAAAAAAATCTCTTCTTAAAAATTCTGGGTAAGATCATAAACTTTAAATGTGAATCAGTGTTCAGCTCAAGCACAAAAATAAGTATTGTTTCAAATGTGGCTTCTGTCCCAACCTACCACTTCCAGCTTACACTGAAAAATTATGCAACCCCTACTCAACTAAAAAAAAAAAAAAAAAAAAATTATGACTGCTCTGGTAGAAAAAATAAAAATAAAACACATGTGTTTACAACCAGTTCATGTTATCAAACACACATACATCACTGGGTGGACATAGGCGTTTCCATCACGATGCCCTAGAAAGCTCTTCAGTAAATAGAAATAGAAAAGATAATGTAAAAATTAACATAAAATATGCAAAAAAGCCACTTTTTTTTTAAATCAAAAGACCTAAACTATTGTGAAAGGCGTAAGATTATTATGGAAGGCTTTAAAAGACAGATGCTTCAAAATTGTTTGATCGAGTATTACCTTACCTGGAAAACACATCTGGATTTCAAGGGTTTCTCTTAGACTGAAGCTAAAGTCCTATCCCTCTGACTTTGAGGTAAATATGAATTAAACAGTAGATTTATTAAAATTAACTCAGAATCGGTTAAGTGAGAAAGCCCCATTAGAAAGAAACAGAGCTTTGAAAGAGGGGGAAGTTAAACCAACTATGTTCTCTATCTCATCCTTTGAAGTTGGTGAAATTAATGTCAGGGTTAAGCCAGTGCTACTTCAACAAGAATATTCTATAAACCTGGGAACTGGAGAGCTGATCTAAAATAAATACTCTCTTTCTAAAAAAAACCAATTAAATTCACATAAATTCCATAAATCCTGTTTGCTTTCCTCTAGATAATCATATCAGTTAACAGAACAAACCAAAATGGAAATATCCAACAGAGAACAAATAAAGTACATAAATGAGGATACCTTGATTCCTGGGCAGTGAGCAAAAAAAGCTTCAGGACTCTGAGAATGATAAAGAGCCCCATGGCCGACACAGCCCCAAGGGGCCCGGATAGTGAGGCTTCCACAATTAAAAAGATCCCCAGAGCGATAGCGGTACTTGGCAGCTTCATTAACAATCTTGGAAGGGGGGAGGGGAGAAGAAGGACAGGTCACAAGGAGTCCTTTATTTCCATCCCTTTCCTTAACCATTTTATTAGATCTTTAAATATATGCACATAACAAAATAACTCCTAATGCATTAGCTCAAAGACGACCTAAAAATCCCCAAGATCAGAGGTGGGAGAGTGGAAGCAAAACTCCCAACAATTCATGGACTTAATCTAAGAAATGTTTAATTAGAGGGGCGCCTGGGTGGCCCAGTCAGTTAAGTGTCTGCCTTCGGCTCAGGTCATGATCCCAGGATCATCCCTGCTCAGTGGCGAGCCTGCCTCTCCCTCTCCCTCTGCCCCTCCCCCTGCTCATGCTCTCACTCACTCTCATAAATAAATAAAATCTTTAAAAAAAAAAAAAAGAAAAAGAAATGTTCAATTACAGTAAAATGAAACCTTCTTACCTGATCGAAAGCAGGGAAAATATAATCTGCAAACTGAATTTCTGCAATAGCCGTCGCTCCAGTGACTGCGATCCCAATTCCAAACCCAACGATTCCTTGTTCACACAACGGCGTGTTGAAAACTCTATCTTTTCCTTAAAAAAAGAAAAAATAGTCCTTATATGACAAATGGGAGTGATATAATACACAGCACAACCAAAAACTCAGGGAGTTAATGGTGATGGAGAAAAACAGCATAGAAGAGGTGAAGGAAATAGAAGATAACTAGTATGAGGGCTGGTTTAAATACAAACATAATAATTATATTAACTGTAAGTAATCTTAGCGTTTCAACTGAAAGAAAGGTTGTCCCTCTGGGATAAAAGAAAGCAAAACCCAACTACTTAAAAGAAAACACTGAGACAATAAAGATAACAGAAGACTCAAAAGTAAAAGGAAAGAAAACAAACAATGAAAACCCTAACCAAAACAAGGTGTCACCACAGGATTAGTGGACAAAGTAGACTTTAGGGGAAAAGGCATTACCAGAGATAAAGCAGGAAAATTCACAGTTTTAAAGGGTACAATTCAAAGGGAGGACATAATTCTAAATTTACACTCATGGAACACAGGCTCCAAAGAAATTAGAAAAATTAACAGAGGGTCGCCTGGGTGGCTCAGTCGGTTAAGCGGCTGTCTTCGGCGTGGGTCATGATCCCAGGGTCCTGGGACCGAGCCCTACATGAGGCTCCTTGCTCAGGAGCCTGCTTCTCCCTCTCTCTCCCTCTGCTTGTGCTCTCTCTGTCAAATAAATAAAATCTTTAAAAAAAAAAAGGAAAAAAAAATTAACAGAATTAAAAGGAAAAATGGATAAATTCCCAATATGGTGGGAGATATTAATATACCAATCTCAGTAACAGACAGAAAAAGCATACCAAAATAAAAAGGCAGGACTGGAGAAGATTGGTATATGATTAGCAAATACGACCTAACTGACAAGCAGAGGACACTGCACCCAACAGCCAAGAATACAAACCCTTTTCAAGGAAGCAGAACATGGACATTCACTGACCACAGACTGGGCTATACATCCAATCTCAACATATTCTGAAGGATTAAAATCATAACAGGGTGTATTCCCTGACCACGATGGAACTAAGCTAGAAGCCAATAACAGAAAGAGAGTTAGAAAATCCTAAATTAGAAAAAAATTTTAAATATGTCTAAATATCCACGGCTCAAGGAAGAAATTATAAGGAAATTATAAAATATTTTGAACTGAATGACAATGAAAATTATGTATCAATATGTTGAGGTTACCAATTTAGTAAGGAGTCGAGTAGCTTTTTACAGACTAACCCACCCATATCTATTATCAACTCTGGACACAATATAACAAATAACTGACTTAAAGGCATTGGAGAGCCAAAAAGCGCGCCTAACCCAAAGGGGGCTTGACCCTTGAAAGAAAGGAAGGGCAGTGGATAAAAATAACATTTATAAGTCTTGTCCCCTGAGGGGGCTTCTCCACTCTCTGTGACAAGGGACTGCTAGGATTCAAACAAGACAGACTCAGTCTTTATTAGCTTGGTGGTGAGAGAATGAGAGAATGGGGTTCAGGGCTGCCAGTGGCTAGACACTGAGGAACGAAGGCCCTAAAAGAAGAACAACACATAGGGGCACCCCAAAGTCTGTGCATAAACTGTTCAAATCTTTGGCTGACCTCTATGGCTGTAGGAGACTCAGAGAACTCAGCAGATGGCAGCTGGAAGCCCAAAGAGCTGAGCAGAGATTTCAGCTCTACCCACTAAGGAAAAGACAGAATTTGGAGTTTGAGACTCTTCAAATTAAAAGTGCTTGATAAACACCTCAGGCTTTGCACTGGAACAAGGTGCATGTTACTAGTGTTCAATTCTCATTTGAAATTTCACCACCCGTCAGCCAATATCAGCATTTCCTGAAAAATCCCAATTTTGGGGAGCTGGAGAGACGCAAATAATGACCCCAGTCTGGCCAGGTGACCAAAAGTCTGTGGACAGATCGGAGATGCATATTTTAGTCCCATGATTGAGGGACACCGGTTCTTCTTGGTGCACAGAATCCACTCTCAGCTCAATCATTCCTTTTGAATATGGACCACAAATAGGGCAGGTGCTGGGAAACACCAGCCAGACACAACCTGTTGTCTGCACTCTACAAGCAGGTGCAAAAACTTAAAACCATGATTCATACTCATCACCATCTGTGACTATCTTCTGAAATTGTGACCTCTATCACTCATCAGTTCCCTATTTGACTGCGAATAGCTTGATAAGTTCTGAAAATCTAGGGCTCCACTGAACTAAGAACAATTCATTAGTAGACAATGAACAAAGATTCTAGCCGCCTCCTGTGGAATCCACATCCCTGGAATGCCTGAGCCACCTTAACCAGGTAAGCAGTGTTCTTACTTAGTCCCTGCCACTTCAAGTTCCCTGGATTCAGGTATTTGCCATCTCAGTAGATAACAGCCTTTTATTTTTTTTCTAAAGACTTTATCTACTCATTTGAGAGAGAGCAAGAGAGAGAACACAGAGGGAGAGAGAGAAGTAGACTCCCCACTGCACAGAGAGCCCGATGCGGGGCTCAATCCCAGGACGCTGAGATCATGACCCAATCCGAAGGCAGACGCTCAACTGACTGAACCACCCAGGCGCCCCTAAATACAGCTTTTTTTGCTGCTAGAAGACAGAAAAGTTGAGTTTCTCAGAACTGTTGCTCAAACTCACGCCTGGTCTGAGGAAACAGCTTAATTTAACAACTCTCTCCAACAAGCTGCAGTGACATGAACCGTGTGTTAAAAATCTGTTTCTATTTTCTCCCCAAAAGGTAATGATGTGGATAAGAACACACGTAAATTGCACGATAATGATGACTTCCTCTATGTATAATGCCATTAACCTGATATAAAGTTCGTACACACAGTATCCCAATGAGTAAATTAACACATACAGTGATTGTGCCATGAGGCAAGACAGATCTGGTTTTCAGTGCTATCTCCACAAATTACTAAACTCCCTCAATTTATCATCTGTAACAAAAGAATCATGATACTAAAAAGAGTAAAAAAATTACAAGCAGGAGGCCTACTGTGATTTTAAATAGGAGGGTCAAGAAGACCTCAGTGAGAGATGACATATACAGAAAGAGTTGAAGGAAGTGAGAAAGTGCACTGTGCATATATCTGAGGGAGTAAGTGTTCCAGGCAGAGAGATCGGCAAGTGCAAAGGTCCTGGGGTATGGGGCATTTCTTATTACATCAGAGGAAAGGTAAGAAGTCCAGAATGCCTGGTCTGGAGTAAAAGAAATAGTGGTAGGAGATAAAGCTGAAGAGTTGAGAAGGTAGGATGGGGAGGTGGCACAGATCAGACAGGGCCTTGTAGGTCACTGTCAGCTCTCTTTTACTATGACAATGAGTGAGTCAACAAGTAGGTAAGGGATAGAGGAAGCCACTGAGCAAAATCACGCCTTCTCTCAACTATATTCCATCTCTCTAGCTGGTATTTGGTGAATAGCCTCTAGCCAGGCAAGGGGGACATGGCAAGTCTGATTACAGGATACTGCAACAATACCAGTAAGAGATAATGACACCTAATTGCAGAAAAGGTGTGAGACTCTGGATATAGTCTAAATATAAAGTCAAAAAGATTTGTTGATAAAATGGATACGGAGCATGAGTCAGAGAAAAATGCCAAGGATGACTCTGCCAAGGATGACTCAAAGGCTTCTGGCCCACGCAAGCCGAAGGAGAAAGTTGCCCTTAACTAAGGAAGGGCGAACTATGAAGCATACTGGGATGAAACACCAGGAGTTCAGTTATGGAGAGGTTACATTTGAGATGCCTTCAGATGTTAAGGTAAAGCTCGTAAACAGACTGTTACATACTGGAGTTGAAAGTCTTCAGCATCAAAACAGCACTAAAAAGCACAGGCCTGGATGCAACTGCCAAGCAAATTTATGTGAGAACATAGAGGAAAGATCCAATGTTAAAAAGACAAGCAGTGAGAACTAATATAATCAGCAAAGTCGAAAAGAAAAAAAAAAAAAAAAAGCCAGAGTTTGGAGAAAACATAGAAGAACGTGCTGGCCTAGAAGCCTCTTCGAAGAGACTGGAGTAATCAGCTGGTGCTGTATGCTATCAGTTCCACGTGAGGAGGGCTGAGAATTGTATAACGGCTGATCTCGACATTAGCAGTGTCAGCAAAGTAGGAAGGAGGGAAAGAATAAAAGCCTAGATCGAGAGGGAGCGGGGGAAGACAGATCGGAGACAATGAGTAATGATAATTACTGGGAGAGATTTTGCTGTAAAGGAGAAAAAAGGAGGAACAACTGGCTGGACAAAAATATGGGATCAATACAGGGAAGTTTTTGGTAAGACCAATAAAAAAGCATATTTGCACGCTGATAAAAATGATCAATAAGAAAGGAAGAAATGGAGGTGCCTGGGTGGCTCAGTCGTTAAGTGTCTGCCTTTGGCTATGGTCATGATCCCAGGACCCTGGGATCGAGCCCCACATTGGTCTCCCTGCTCCGCGGGAAGCCTGCTTCTCCCTCTCCCACTCCCCCTGCTTGTGTTGCCTCTCTTGCTGTGTCTCTCTCTGTCAAATAAATAAAATCTTAAAAAAAAAAAAAAGAAAGGAAGGAAGGAAGAAATCATTGAGAAAATTAAATGGGGAGACGGAAGAAAACCGGGGTTATGTCTTTGATGGGGAGGACTGGGTCTGGCGTGGAGAGATTGACAGGAACCCTTGTGTCCAGTCAGAATGCGGGAGAAAGGCATGGGTGGGCACTGACGCGGGTATAGGAGCGTGTGCAGCCGTGAGAGCTTGTCAAAGTTCTCTCTTCACTGCATCTATCTTCTTGGCAAAACACGAAACTAGATTATTGATAAAAACTAAGGATGGAGGCAGCAGTGTTGAGAGAAAAGTATGAAATAGTAATAATGGGAAAATGGAGAAGTGAAGGGACCAGGATCAGGCAGGAGGACAGTACACAGCAGGAGTGGCCCCTGGAGATTACTAGTCTCAGACTAAAAGTGACATCAGTTGCAAGATGACTTTTTTCTCTGGCAACATTCTACATAAGATTGAGGGTTTAGAAAATGGTGTTGGGAAAA